AAGCAAAACTGTGTTCATAATTAAAAGTTTCGTATAATTAAAAAAAAGGAAATTTTAATTAATTGTTACGGGCGAACGCAATTGTGCGAGTATACACGTACCTCAGGAAAACTGCGGAAAACGACTTAGATATTGATTTTTGCATTCTATCAGCAAAGGAATAAAGTATATTTTTGAAAGCTTATATATTCAAGTTTGCTTCAGTGCGGTGAGACTAAGAGGAAGAAAGTTCCCCGGCGACCTACTACGAGCAAAACGGGTAATGAACAAATGGATTACCTAAGGTAAATGACTACCGCCGCCCGTAGACTCCTGCAACTGACTGGCCCTGGTGATGTGGCTCAGAGTAATAATAAAAAAGACGGGTTGCACTCCGGGAGTGCCGGCAGAAGTGAAAACTTGAATATTAACGTTGTGCATTTTTGATATTTTGGAATGGTTAATCAGTATAAAAGTACTATAATTTATGTGGTAGAATACAATATTTATTTATTGCGCTATCGTACACAAACATGACAATTTATATTACATTAAAAAGTTTATCTCTCAGAAAAACGAACATTCGCGCAAGCGCCCTGTGCCGCCTTAACGAAACAGCAGGCGCAGGCATACATTTTCGCCGCGCCGTAGAAAGAGAGGGGGTTACTTCCTCTCCTACGCCGCGCCGCGTCTACTCTCCATCCGCCTTACAAATTTTCAATCAGGTCACGTGTCCTGACGCGAGTTTAACATTTTTTTATCCATTAGAAAGTGTACAACGCCGCCAAAGAAGTTTTCACTTTAATAACAATCGCAAATTACTTTATTGTTTTCTCTCACACACTTTACAATCATAATTAATAATATATTAGAACAGCATATCTTAAACAAAAACGGCGTGTGAGGGCTATAGATTGAAGGAGGTTTTGGCCTACTATACCACGCTCACCAGACGGGTTGGTATAGGGTTTGTGTCAAGTTGTCCAGAAGGCGATAACTACCTGGACCCCTCCTAAACTGGAAGCGCAAAGAGGGCACACCGTGTGGTTTTAGTCGGTTCGTGTCCGACACACCGCCCCGCCGAACGAGAGCCCCGGCGGGGTGACGGTCCGAGGGGATTTCCACACGTAACAAAAAAAAAAAACATTAAAAAAAATAAAAATGAAAAAAAAAGGGTTTGTGTCAAGTTTTCCTTCTCTCTGCAGTGCTGTTGTCCTGCGTATTTCGCTCCCTTAGTCGCCTCTTACGGCACCCACGGGATGAATAGGGGTGGTGACACTTTGTATGCTAAATCCGTCACCACACGGACAGCCGAGACAATCCAATACGAGTAATAAATATTCTGTGTGAGAGGCTGAAATCTGCACTAGGATACTTGTATATGTGTGTGTGTGTGCACGAGTGTGTATGTGTGTGTTTGTATGTAATGCTCATCTTCGATTTATTAAATACTTTTCCGTTGGATGATACAAGCACGAATGTGAATACTGGAAGAGACAGTAGACCATTGAATGTTGGGATTTTGATAAATTTTGTGTTTCAATCTTTTATTTGTATGCAAAGGTTCGTATGTCGGAATCAATCATGACAAATCCAAGTTTCCCCTTTTGGGCACACTTTATATTAACTTTATATAAACATGTAACAATGTCCATTGTTAAAGTTAACAAATTACAAAAGCTCATGCTGCCTTATGCTCTGACCCTTTAAAATCACTTCGTATATATTGAGTTGTTTTAATAATACACTGTTGGTTCTGCCATAAAGTTTATCTTGGTCGAATTTGGTCGAATCTAGTATATAAATTAGAATAATTAATATGTAAGTTTGAAGCCCTTTGTAGTGTTGTGAAAGGGTTTACGGGTCATTGCATTGAAACTGTGTAAAGAGACAAGGTCTCAAGACCTGTTTAAATATTAAGATAGTGTGTTTAAAGGGTTCGTCTTTTGTTGGTTTTAGAACTCAAAGCTACTTGGTAACAGTAATATTAGGAATTAATTGACTGGTTTGGTGGTCTAGTGACCCTGACTGCTGGGCAATATAGTAATCTCGCTTCGATGGTTTATGACCGAGTCTGCAGCGAATTAATCATTTTTATATCTGCATCATCATCACATCATCATCAAAAACTTTTAACAACTTAGCTGCTAACTCTGCATATGTGCTTGTGCGGGGGGCCAGCCCCGCGTATTTGCGGACCATGACGGTTGAATTCGATATCGGTCGGTGTGCGGTCTCACTGAGGGAATCGCGCTGCGTGTTTTGCGGCCTCCCGCTCAAGAAACATAAAATTATCGTGCAAGTGTTGGTTTTTCGAATGGTGTATTATTTTTTTGGTCTTGGGTAGTCCGCATCCATCCACTGCCAGCTATTTTCCTCAGTTATTTATATTACTAACATTTATAATTTGATTTTTAATTTAACAATTTAATAAAAATTGATGATTTTTGTGTTACATATATGTTTGATTTATTACTTACAATTTAAAAGTTGGTTCCAAAGAGAAGTATTAACTTAGTTTTAAAAACTTAGTTTTAAAAAAATAATAAAAATATGGCAATATTACTAAACAAATATTTTTTTAAGTGAATAAACATAACATAAATTAAAATAGACAGGTCCTCGTTTGTGCGGGGCGAGCATGGGCATTGAAATTTTCAATCCCTGTGCGAGGCCCGCAATGCGCAATGCAAATGAATAAAAACCCGCACATATGCCATATGGCCAGACAGGTTGGTATGGGGTTTGTTTCAAGCTTTCCTTCTCTTTGCAGGGCTGTTGTGCTGTGTAGTTTGCTCTCTTAGTGTAGTATTATGTAAGTATTATGTAACAGTAACAAATCAACTCATACGTCCTCAAAAATACATCAGGCTGCATAAAACCTGCTGCATGTTGTATTTGTGCAGCAGTTGTGTGCATATACACTGCACTGGCAATGGCACTGCACGGTGCACCGGTATGGGCGTCGGCTCTGACCGCTCAGAATAGGGCACGCCTCTGGCGCCCTTAGAGGATATTGCGAAGGCGCACTTACCATCGCCTTATGCCGCCCTGAGTGTGGTCACGGGTGGACGAGATGGGTTTTTCCTTACACCCGCCATAACGGCCAGCCGCAAGGAGGCGAAATCCGTGTGTGCCGGACGTCACCTAAATAGAGAATGAACCGGGCCGTTGCGGGCAGGTGCTAGGAGGGGTCTGGTTGTCCTAATAACAGCAGTTCCCGGATCCCTCCTACTACAAGCACAGAGTGGCACAGTAGTTTTAGTCATCCCACCGGGGTTTGCGGTGGGATGACGGCCCGGGGGGTTTACACACGTAAAAAAAAATGTTGTACAAATACAGCACATATACATATATTAAGTACAACACTTTTTTAAATTGTTTCAAACTTTTAATACTAACAATGCAATTATAACATAAAATACAAATTAATTTTAATTAAAAAGACCAAAATTCTTTGCGTGTAACAGCGAACAGGGTCGCAATTATATTGTACTACACCTTTTACCCAAGTACGCCCTCATTTCCATCTCATTCTGTAAGCACACTTCATTTTACATCAAAGAAAAGGAGGGAAAAATTTCCCGCTTTGGCATTACGTTTATAAAAGTGTTAACGAACGAGACACCATATTCTTGCTTATATAAAATGTAGGTTAGGTGTTGAATACCACCGCTACTTTCTTGAAGCTGAGCCGAGCTAAAAACCGTTTCTGACTTACACACTTGCAGAGCTATTTTTAATTTTTACGTAGTTGGAAATTTATTCCTGTTGTAAATTTCTTGTATAAGCTCATTTTTTTTTCCTTTTTGACGTGACAACGTCTTATAATTCGATGGAGCCGGCTGCACGCACGAAAAAACATGACTCATGCGGCGTTACCTCGCTCTGAGGCGTTCCATTTAAGGCTTGAAGTGCAAGCGAGAGCGCGGAACGAGTGACAAAGAGACACAATCGGCCTCCGCGTTCGGCAGCGTTCTGTCTCTCTCAAGTAGGAACTTGAGTGAGCGATGCGTCCGCGTGGACAGCTGCTACTCGTATACAATAATACATTTTTGAAAAAAGCAACCATTCCATCAGTATTTTCTTATGACGTTGTCACGTTCAACTATCGTCAGTAAACCAACTTTACAGACAACCGATTTTTTTTCACTTTTTCTACTATTGTTATATATACCAACAAACGCGGGTCTCAGCTAGTTACAACATAAAAAAGCATTAGCTGCCATAACTTCAACTTTATAACCCCAACGGTTTTGGCGTGTATGAATCAGTCAGCCAAGGCGAATAATTTTATATGTATAGATATATCTGCATCGTTGCTCTTGTTTTTAAGTTTGATGGTTTCAGAAATGATATGATACGAGTACTTAATCATGTTCTTTTTGATATCGATAAGTATTAATTTTATTCACTTTTGATTGACACGTGCTAACTTACTAAGAAAGAAAATTCGTCCAACAGAAGACACGGGTAAATAATTAATCCGGGCAACAAATAATGGTAACAACTAATAATTTTCAACGCTACATGTGTCTGAAATAATATCCGTAAAGTTTTATAATTAATTAATTATTTTAACTTTAAATAAAATAAAGAAGGGATATTTTTAATTAAAATTAAAAATAAGCAACTGAAACGTGGTGGTCACGTGACTAAGTCTGACATCATTATTCGAAAGGAACCTACCTCAAGTTTTGTATTAGTATTTTGTATCCATTCATCCCGTGGGTGTCGTAAGAGCCGACTGAGGGAGCAAACTCTGCAGGACATCAAAACTGCGAAGACAAGGAAAACTTGACACAAACCCTATACCAACCTGTTTGGCCAGCGTGGTATAGTAGTCCTTTCTAAGGAGAGGCCTATGTCCAGCAGTGGACTGTTAGAGGCTGTTGATGATGATGACAGGTTGGTTGTGCGAGGCAAAAAGTATCTTCAAAATTTTGCCAACTTCACTAATCCAGTCTTTCAAATGCAACAACAGTATCATAAACGATATTAACCGTACTATTTCTTTGCAGGTAAAGGTGTGGTGAACCGTGGTGACTCGCTTAGGTCAAGACGCTCTCGATCCAACACCTCAGTGGCCTCCAGCGCGTCCAGCACAGAAGCCGTTACGAGGGCATCTGCGCCGTGCTCGTTAGCCTCATCAAGGTCAGAGATATCATTTAAACTACATTAATTACATATCAACCATATTCGTTTTTTTTTTGTAACAAAAAGCCAATTTTACCCGTCTGCCTGTATTTCCGCTAACCACTCCTAAACCACGGTAACTATTTCAATACGGTTTACAGTAATTAATTAGATAATGGTGCTAATTCTGTTGTTCGAAGACTCTCTAAACTAAACTAAAAATCACTAAAAATTTGTTTAGTCTTGTCAAATAACGTTTCTTATTCTGAAAACGTAGTACTCGACAGGACCAAACTATTTTTTATTTTATTTTTAGTTTAGTTTAGACAGTTTTCGAACAAGAGAATTAGCACCAATATTTCAATTCATAACTTTAACTCGTTCCCCTCCACTTATTCTTGTAAGTAAGTACATAAATATTACTTTTTATCAAGTGGTTGATCTCTTCTCACCATCGACGCCATCCGTGCACTTCGACTGCACGGACGGCGTAGTGGTTTAAGTGGTCGCCACGCCGCTTCCTACTGCGCCGAGTGTTGTGGGTTCAAACCCCACATGGGACGACACAATGTGTGATCCACAAATTGTTGTTCTGAGTCTGGGTGTTCTTTGTGTTCGTTTCATGTATGTTTGTAAAGTCCCACGCGACACAGGATATATTCCTAATGCAGGAGTTGTTTTTTTTTAAATGAAAAAAATGAAATGATCTTATCTCCTCTTCCACTTCAATCATCATATTTCATCCTCTAAATGCACTTTTACTGATCACAAAATAAAGCCAAAAATTCCCAAGATTTCGATTTAAGCAATTCTTTAAGCAAATGCTCTACAATCTACGCGGTGATAGATCGTCTATCTATAAAGTTAAACGATGTGAAAGCAAACTGAAAGTTCGTCTTCGATGTGAGTTGTGACTGAACCTACGTGAGTTGCGTTTAACGTAGTTTGTTCCTTTATCGGTTACACGAAGGATGAGTGTACGAAATGAATGATAATGTTACCTGAGGGAGTTTCTTTTTGTACTGCCTTCGTAGGTAAAAGACAAACACTTTGAAAGTAATACTTTAACAACATGCTGTTATTCGCTTTGTATCGTATCGTATCTAATGACTGCATAGATCGTGTAATGGTTTAAACGGTCACCTCGTCGCTTTCTACTGCGCTGAGTGTTATGGGTTCGATCCTAACATGGGATCCTAACTTTGTGTGATCCAAAAATTGTAGTTCTAACTCTGGGTGTTCTTTGTGTCCGTTTCATGTATGTTTGTAAAGCCCCTCGCGACACAGGATATATTCCTAGTGCGGGAGTTAAATTAAAAACAATAGTTACAACTCTTGGACTTCAATTTTAAGTATTTTCCCCTAGTTCTAGACATCTTATTTCAATGCTCAATAGTTGCAGCGTTGATATACATGGTGACTCACTTACCAAATTCCGCAGTAATATACAAAATGCTTTTTAAAAGGTACTTTATTTGATTCTATCTGTTTTTGCCAAAACCTACTTGTATAATTTAGTATAAGCATAACATAATTATTGTTTACAGCACATGAGGTGCTTACCTATAAGTAATTGTAACACTATGCCACTTCATACTCATTGTAATATGTCTTTAAAATGATAATCAGTGTATACAATTGTTGGTGAGCCAATTAAATAAATAAAATAAAATGAAACCTTGTACATATACGCAGTTTTGATGACAATTACCTTGTGGTGATTTCTAAATATCGTGCAACAAAATCATACGACAGTGCCATCTATCGGAAACACACCAAACTACGGAGTAACTACTAATCTTGTATGGCGGTATGAGTAATTCGCACGCAGATTAGCATATTTACAACTTCCCAACATTAACCGTAGGGCCGCGACCCGCCAGGCATGATCACCTCGCCTGGTCGGAGTAACGTCTTTTTCTGATAGAGGGACATAACAACCGTTCTTCCACAACCTATATAATGATGCGTTTTTGAGGTGGTCTGAGATTGGAGTCGGCATGTGGATGTACTCTTTAGGTACTACTAGTAAACTCGTACATGATTATTTGCCAACAGTACCTACAAGAGATTGGTCACGATAGTATGAAAATTATTAGTTTATACAATGCACTTATGACCTTGGAGTCGCAGGTGTCCATGGGGGGCTACCTAAAATCAGGAAACTTGCTTACCGTCTATACCATATAAACCGTTTAAAAGAACAATCCGAAAAATCTTGAGAAACTTTGGTTTAAAGGAGATCCTTTAAACCTCAGATGTCTCAAAAGGAATTGTTAGTCCTAAAACCATTTTTATGTGCCTCGTTTGAGGACAGCAGAAAAAATACATTACAAGAACGTGAAATATATCTTAAGCCTGTAAATTTTTACAGGGATTCTTCAGCTGGGCTTAGCTCATACCGGGTGTTGGTGCTGGGTGCACCTGGCGTCGGCAAGTCCAGTCTGGTCGGTCAGTTCATGACCTCGGAGTATCTCCATGCTTATGACACCAGTATTGGTAAGACGGAGTTTTCCTCTTTCTACTTCTTCTATTTGATTGGCAAGCTTTTGCAATTGCTTGTTTTGTTACAATTCAGTTCCTGTGCAAGCTGAGTTTTTTTTTGTGTAAAATAAGTGTCATATTGTGTTTATGAATTTTGCCTGAAAACTTGTATGCATAACTTAATTTCGATCAGTACTTTCGTTTCTGTAAGTCCAAAATGTTACTTACATTTTTTATTTTGATTTTTTAATTCTATTTAAGAGCTGTCAGATTTGAGTGAAGGCGAAGATGCTAGATTCTTTATAGCGTAATCGCTGTCAATAGAATTATTATCTTGTAAAACTGAAAATAACGTTTAAATTAAAATAAACACAAACAGGGTTTTAAACATTTACCTTATGAAATTTTTGACGCATAGAGAAATATCACATGAACAGCCTTTAATAGTCCACTGCCTCCTAGTCTAAAACCTCCTTTCTAAGGAGAGGCCTATGTCCACATAGGCCTCTCCTTAGAAAGGAGGTTTTGGCCTACTATACCGCGCTGGCCAGACAGGTTGATATAGGGCTTGTATCAAGTTTTCCTTCTCTTTGCAATGTTGTTGTCCTACATAGTTTACTCCCTTAGTCGACTCTTACGACACCCACGGGATGAACAGGGGTGGTGACACTCTGTATTCTTAATCCGTCACCACACGGACGATCATTCCAGTAATGATTCCAGTATTTTGTTCTATGTATTTATACAACGTGTAGAAAATAATTTGTAAGAGTTAGAAACTAACTAATAACTGATGAATGAATGAACATAATCTTTTAAATATGGAGATTTACTTTTTTTAAATAGAATGATATTACGTCATAAATTAAAAATTGAATGAATCATAATAGAACTTTGATTTTAATTAATTTTAGATTTTTTTTTATTGATGACCATTAAAAAAAATAAGTTAAAAAAAGAATTCGTAGAAAATAAAACAAAAAATATATTTCAGAAATAGTTATAATGCGTGGGACTTTTAAATATGCCTCGGTGTATAAAATTGATACATGTTATATTGTTTCAGATGACGAGTCAGGCGAGCGGTCGGTATGCGTGCTGTTGGCTGGCGAGGAATCGGAAATCACTTTCTTAGATTCTCCACCAGATCATGTAATTGTAAGCTTTTAGATCATTCATTTCATGTCTCAACCCCATCAGAGAATCATTAACCTCCGACGCGTCGCCGTCACAACAGTTGTGACACCAAATTTTTACGCGGTAGCGTCTCAGTCACAACATTTAGAAGAATATATATCAGGGATTCCAAATATGTTTATTTCATTGAATATAATTATAAAATAACGTAGATATTGAGGTAATAATGACTTCGCTCAGCTGTGACTGGGTCACTAGTTCAAGGGCGCGACAGTACAGGGTCATAGGTCATCCGCGCGCCGCGACGTCCTAAGAGTTTAAAAAACATATTTTGTTGTAGTGTTTGACTAGATCTTTTCGTAATTTTAATTGAATACCTTTTAGCAGGCCAGGCCTACTCCATATGTGAGTGTAAAGCTAATTTCCGGACTAATTTCATTGGGCTTCTGCGAAGATCTGATAGTTTTTCAGATCTTCGCAGTTATTGAAGCAATACCAGTACATTTGCCTTCTATGCAATAATATTACATACAAACAAGAGGCAGATACGCCACCAACACACAAAACGCGAGGGTCCTAATTAGGACCACTGCGAGCGAACGCACGTACTAATTAATTCGATAAAATTCAAAATATGCTTCCTGTGTATTCCGAAAATGCAGAAATCATGACAAAATGGTAAATAAAGATAAAGGAATATACTACAGGTAAATGTATGTTTTGTTCTAAAATGCATTAATAAATGTATACATATACAGTTACGGCACAAATATTTTGTGCATACAGTAGGGATATAACATATCTGCCTTTTTTTTCCGTGCGGAAATTCCCTCGGATACCACCTGTCGGTGGCATGTCGGACTCGAACCGACTAAAACCGTACGCCGTCTCGGGTACTAATAGCCGGGGAACCAGGATAACATATCTGCCTGAAAATATCATTGCTTCTAGACGGGCCTGTTGGTCTAGTGGTTAGTGACCCTGACTGCTAAGCCAGAGGTCTATGGTTCGATTCCCACCCAAGACGAATATTGTGTTATGAGCACGGTCATTTGTTCTGTATCTGGGTGTAACTTATCTATAATATGTATTTAAAAATATATAAGTATGTTTATCAGCAGTCTGGTTACCATAGTACAGGCTCTGCCTAGTTTGGGATCAGACGGCCGTGTGTGGGATGTATGAGATATATATTATTTTTTTTAAAAGACAACTCCCGCATTAGGAATATATCCTGTGTTGCGGGGGACTTTACAAACATACATGAAACGGACACAAAGAACACACAGACAGAACAACACTTTGTGGATCACACAAAGTGTCGACCCATGTGGCGTTTGAACCCACAACACTCGACGTAGTAGGAAGCGGCGTGGCGACCGCTTAAACCAGTACGCCATTCGTGCAGTCAGTTAATATTATTCTATGTAGTTAAGTAAACAGAAAAAAATTCAAATGCAAGGATGTTACTGAGTATCGAAGTAACGTACGACTTACCCAGCGCGTGGTTGCCCAAAGAAGCTAGTCCGGCAAGTTGAGACCGCCACGTACTTGTTTCTAAAATATAACCTAAAAGACGATATAAAATACAACAGTTATTTGATAGAAAAGAGGTAACTTCTAAGTTAATTTAATCGTAAATAATAAGCGCTGTGAATCACACTTTTTATGTTAAAGAAGTCACTTTTACTGAAGCCTGATATAGATGCAGTGTTTGTGCCGACAATACAATTGGTTCCTTGAAATAACAGTTTACAATATTCGAAATAACATCACATCACATCAACAGCCTTTAACAGTCCACTACCCGACATAGGCCTCTCCTTAGAAAGGAGGTATATAGAGACACCGATTGTTGTACACCATAGTTTAGAGAACACAACATTCTAACACTGCCATCAATTTACATTTTGGAAATATGTAAATTCGTACGAAAAAATCAACATCTGTTTACAAAAAATAATAATAACAATAATAATATTCTACCACATATTATACAAAGTCCGACATAAAAAGAGAGGATAAACAAAAAAACTACACACTACGCCATAGGACTAGACTAAACCTACCTTCATCCCGACTCCAAATTCATTCAAATAGCACTCAAGTAATGTCTATCAAAATTTACAATAAAGTACCCGAAGAAATTAGAAATGAAACCATATTAAATATATATAAAAATAAATTAAAACAATTACTACTACAAAAATGCTATTACAGCATCAATGAATACCTGAGCAATCAATAAATTAAGCATGTACATAAAAACTGAAGTATAATTATTATGATTAGTTTGTATTATCTCTCCCTCTCTCATCTATTGCTGTGCCCGACAGGGTCCATCATGATCTGATCTTATATTTAAGTTACCATCTAAGTAAACATTGTGGAATGCAATAAATATATTGAGTATTAAGATTTTGGCCTACTATACCACGCTGGCCAGACGGGTTGGTATAGGGTTTGTGTCAAGTTTTCCTTCTCTCTGCAGTGCTATTGTCCTACGTAGTTTGCTGCCTTAGTCGTCTCCTGCGACACCTACGGGATGAATAGGGGTGGTGATACTCTTTATTCTTAATCCGTCACCACACACAATAACCAACAATAACCATTTTATATCGACTTGTGTTGGTTTCATTAAATTTTTTATTAAGCAACCCTCTTCAAAGCGGTCACTCGGACATAATTTTGATGAGGGTCGGAAAGTACAATGCTAACTTATAATTTCTGTGAACGTTATTATTGTTGCAGAAATTTCTCTTTTATTGTTAGCTAATATGATTAATATTTTTTATTTCTGGTAAATACGTAAATATACTCGTGAGAATTGAATCAGTTAGGCAAAATATTTTCCAAGACACTATTTAAAGAAGGCATTGTTCCTGAGAGAGAATGCTGGGTCTGATATTAGTGGTAAAGAGATACGTAGGATAACTATCCAACATCATCAACAGCCTTTACTAGTCCACTGCTGGACATAGGCCTCTCCTTAGAAGGGAGGCTTTGGCCTATTATACCACGCTGGCCAGACGGGTTGGTATAGAGTTTGTATCAAGTTTTCCTTCTCATTGCAGTGCTGTTGTCCTGCGTAGTTTAGTCCCTTAGTCGACTCTTACGACACCCACAGGATGAAGAGGTACAACATGATAAAGGTAATTATACCTTGATCATGTAAATGTACTGTGTATTGCCAGGTGTTGTTTCTGTCCTAGTGGTTTCTTCAATCTTAAAGGGGACAGCAAAATTACGAGACTTGCTGTATTTTCTACCATGGCTTCCTTGCCTTATCTGTTTTCCAAACCCGAATTTTCTCTTAATTTATTTAGAGATTAAAGAATTCCGCCATAATCTTTTCTAACGCTGCACATGATCTGTCCATAAATAAAATTGGGAAATGCAAGGAAATTGCTGATGATGATCTGTGTGTACTCGTCCTTAGTTTTGAGTTAAAAATATCCATAGCAAATATAGTCCAGTCATTTGAGGATAGTCATATCAACCCATAGGTCTAGCAAACTAATTTTCAATAGAGAAACAAGAATTATAGTTTCATGGTTCACATCAAGTTTTAATCTTCAGAATTCGGGAGGGGGCGCACAGTCATGGGTGTCGGCTGTCACTTACCATTACGTGTTCATTTGCCCCCTTTACCATAAAAAATGTAAATAAAAAAATATTTTGCTGCTCTCTTTTTGAAGTCTGAAGGCTGCGCACATGGTTACTGCGTGGTCTACTCAACAGCAGACCGAGTCAGCTTTGCGGATGCGGAGAAAAGACTTCAAAGTCTCTGGGCAGCTGGCCATACATCCAGACGAGCTGTCATCCTGGTCGGCAATAAAGCTGATCTTGCAAGATCAAGAGCTGTTCCTACAGATGGTGAGTATCTTTGATTTTTATCATCATCACAAACTTTTGCATAAAACCACGTTTTTCTAAAGGCCTCTTTAGAAGGAAGAAATTACTAAATATATGGAGATAATAAAGATTTACAGTTATACTAATACATGTATCTCGGATGTGCCCTTGAGACACGACAGGGCCCCTTTTATCAGGGGGCAAAGCAACCTATCCAGTCTATTAAGTAGCGGAGGCAAAATAACCTATCGCCGATAGGTTATTTTGGCCGTTATCACTACTAAACCTTATCGATACGCTATCGGTAAGGTTTAGTAGTGAAAACTTCGTAAACGAACACTCTCGAAATTGTAACATTAATAAGTGATAATTTACTTTAAACCTTCGCGAATGAACGAACTTCAATTTAATGAATTCATTCACTTCATTTAAATAACATTCGCCGTCTCAACGTTAAAGAATTCAGCTTGAATTCAGTATGAAGCTTGGAATAAATAATATTATAGAGCCGGCAACGCGTTCATAGGCGGCGGTAGTCGCTTTCTATCAGGTGTCCTGTCTGCTCGTTTGCTCACTACCTATATCATATTCACGAAATATACAATTACATCACATCCTATCAACAGCATTTAATAGTCTTCTGCTCGACATAGGCCTCTCCTTAGAATGAAGGTTTTGGACTACTATACCACGCTGACCAGACGGGTATAGGGTTTGTGTCAAGTTTTCCTTCTCTTTGCAGTTCTGTTGTTCTGCGTAGTTTGCTCCCTAGGTCGGTTCTTACGACACCCACGGGTTGAATAGTGGTGGTGTCACTTCGTATTCTTTATCCGTCACTACACGAATATCGTGGGTTAATTGTGCTTTAATGAACACAATTGTTAAACAAACATATTTTAAACAGATGTTGTGAAATGGACGGTGGTCATGTAGATATATATAACGTTACTTCCTAGCACAAATTATGTCAAAAACACATAAGCTTTAATCAAGCCCAAAACAATTATATTACGTGGAAATACGAAATTATTTGTACATAAAATATATTCAACGTTGCAAATACAAGGCGAACAGACTCCACTTCACCGCAGCCGTGTCAAAAGCAAATACATGCTTTATATAACCGAATAAAAATTGTGATTGAAGCCAGATCTTTCCAATTATATTCATTAGCATAATTTTATGTATTTTATAATTAAATTGAGAGAACATTCTGTGTACACATTAATTAGTGAGAACAGAAGCTTTGCTATTGTAACGACACGGTTAATTTTTTTATAAATAATTTTATTTAACTGAGCTTGTTGTTATTAATTAAGACTTTTTATTTTACACACCAACCAAACAAGCCGGGCGGCTTTTGAAATATTGATAATCATCACAAACTCATGCCTATATTTTTCTAAATGGATAAATAAAGGCGTATTAAACGCTAACATTTTGTTCGCTATAATTTCTATCAAACTGTTAAACTGCAAACTGAACATGTAATATTTTGTTTGAATCTCGATAGAGTACGTTGTTCCTTTTACCTGAATCGCGTTATTGTTTTGCTCAACCCAGTGTTATAAGATAAATAGTGTATTATTTTTAAATTAATCCTCCTTAGGAAACAAGACAATATTCCAGAACTAGTGACAAGTGGAGGCTTATTCACTAGAATTAGTTACCCCTGCCAGTGCAAATTGTGTTGATTCCGATTAAATACCGATTTTTGACCTTTTTGAGTACAACGGTCGAAGCTTGGAACAACTCCCGTACTCGCAGCTGTTTGTTGAGTCGAGGTACGAGGAGTCACTGCACCGGCTATGTCCACAGCAGCCCGCTAGTTGGAAGCAGTGAAGCTCGGAGACAGCGGCAGTGCAGCCACGTAATAAGTGATGAGCCTAATGCCGTCAACTAGGAACTTTCAGAATTAAATGGCTAATTTGGGAATTCAATGTGAAAGGAAAAGGTGATAGGATTGGGAAGCAATCCTAACCAGGCCAGTCTATGAATGGGTGACCATTCTTAACACATTGAGAGCCATGCACCTCGGAGAGCATGTAAAGCATAAAAATCGTTACCTAGTTGGAACCTTAAAGAGTCCGACAACGTTATTTTTACAGAACTTCGATATCGCCTTGTACTTGGGTTGTGGAGGTCTGGTGGCAGTCGCTATGCAAAAGAAACGAAGTTCTGCCATATCATATTACACTTAAAGTCAACCTTGTTTGGGGAAAGGCACGGAGGAAGATAAGACCAAATAAAAATTGTGATTGACACCAAATCTTCCCTTTAAACTTTATACACGTATGTTTTCACAAATTATCATTTGTTTTAGGATGTAACAGATATAACAATGTAAGTAACTAAACCTCCTTTCTAAGGAGAGGCTTATGTCCAGCAGTGGACTATTAAAGGCTGTTGATGAAATAACTAAACTGTAACTATTTTCTTTTACATACAGTGAAACAACAACAGCGAACTACGGAGTAAGTTTTAGCAGTTACTCTGTAGTTCAGCAGAAAAATCAATCCGATGAAAATAACCAAAGATAGGGTTTAAATTAGCATAACGCTATCCCAAAATACGCCTTCGTATTTTGTTTCTAGATAGAATAAAAATACTTTACATGCAAATAAATAGGTTTATTCTTGGTTTCTTACACTTAAATATTTGAACTGAACGGTAATAGAACCTCGAATATTGATACACCGATATTAGATTTCATGCATCACATTTTTTGCATTATTGCAGTTATTCGTGCTCCCTCTAAAGCTATATTTTTATTCCCTTAGGTACTTCTTTTTAGAAGACTCTAGAAGACTAGGTAGTTTATTTTATTCTGTTTTCTGAAAAATATAATGTTGATCCCTTGAGCATGCCAGGCCTAATAATAGTAATCTCTCACATAATTGATTGATTGATCCCAAACTAGATAGAACCTGTACTGTTAACCAAACTGCTGATAAACATACTTATATATTTCTAAATGCATACATACTGTAGATAAATTACACTCAGATACAGAACAAATGATCGTTATATCACACGATATTTGTTCTGGGTGGGAATAGTACACACGACCTCTGGCTCTGCATTCAGGATAACTAAAACCACTGTCTGTGTGGTGACGAATTGAGAATACGGAGGGTCACCACCCCTATTCATCCCCTGGGTGTCGTGTAAGCCGACTAAGGGAACAAACTACGCAGAACAACAGCACTGCAAAGAGAAGGAAAACTTGATACAAACCCTATACCAACCCGTCTGGCCAGCGTGGTATAGTAGGCCAAAACCTCTTTTCTAAGGAGAGGCTTATGTCCAGCAGTGGACTATTAAAGGCTGTTGATGTATGATGATGAAAACCACGAGACCAACAGGCCCGTCACGTATGAAATAAACATTAAAGTTTAGGTAAGGATAATGCCTAGAGTTATTCGATTGTGGAGTTATAAGGCAATACCTTATCCAATGCCGTATAGTATAGAAGAATCGTTTAAAACAAAATAGGTACATTCGAGTCAGCGTAAAGATTCTTCTTCTGAACTCTGCTCCCCAGTATCGTCCAATTATAAGTTTGTGCGACCATTACTTTCTATACTCTAAAGGTCAGTTCTCGAAATAGAAATTAGTTCACAGTTCAGTTCCGATCTACTCTTGATTTCACAAATGTGATATAAGGTATTCTCGTAGCAAAGTAAAAAAAAATCTCGTAGCATCGAAAGTTGACTGTAATGTGAATATATCGTATTGTGACGGAAAGTTGAATCGATATTCTGCTAGTTTAGTAATACTTTACTACGAGAATACCAAAATCGATCTAATTATCATGCAATGGGAGAGGCCTTTGTCCAGCAGGGGACTGCGATAGGCTGATGATGATGATGATGAGGATACCATTATGAATACCATTTATGACATTTGTGAGATTCAGAGTAGATCGAAACTAAATTTTGAACGATTTTTTTATTACGACAATTTTTTTTAAACTTAATACACATATTGTACAAAGGCGGACCTTATGCCTTGAGGCATTCTCTCCCAGTCAACCTTCAGGTGATGTAGAAATATGATGCGGTAGGTGCAAAATAAAATATTAAATTTTACATAATTGTATGTCGGAGTATGGCGGATGAGGGAGAGCTTCCAACCCCAGCTCTTGCAGCTTGGAGACTGTCTGTTGCGCAGTATGGGGTCGCGCGTTGTCGTGAAGGAGCAGTAAGGACGACCGATTGACCAAAGCTGGTTGCTTGGTACTCACCAGACCTTGCACCTACCGACTATTACTTTTTCCAAAATTTAGACAACTTTTTAGTGGGTAAAAAATTCAATTCCCGAGAGGCAGTACAAAATGCCTTTGAAGAGTTTGTTGCCTCCCGTCCAGCTGATTTTTACAAGAAGGGCATCAATAAACTGCCAATGCGTTGGCAAAGATGCGTCGATTGCATGGGTGATTACTTCGAATAACAGAAATAAAAAAGTTTAAAAAAATAAGTACTTTCACCTATTGCATGCAAAACGGCAATTTCATAGGTAAAGATCTATTATATAAATACTCTGTCGGGTACTAGCGTTGTGATTGTTCTGCCAATTCACTCCGAAGAAGTTCGCGCACTTTTCTCTTGAATGCAAGGCGGTTTGTGGACATCCTGATTTCGGCAGGGAAGAATTCACCTTTTGATCTATAAAACGCTAGATATCAAACTTCTTTGAGAGATGAGATGGATTCGAAATGCAACATAAATTCTCTTACACAGTGCTTTTTGGAATTATAGTAGTGTTAACGTATTTTGCCTAGTAAAAACTCATTATTACTACTCGTCTTTTTGTAGTTGAAAAGAGGAATTTATTTCACGACAAAAGATTGGCTAATTTAATAAAGTCCGAACTTTTATAATGGACCTGTCAATTACATCATCTTAACTTGAAGGAAAAACACAAATCTTAATTTTATATAAATACCTTTTTTGAGAGCCATTTTTAATGGCAAAATTCTATTTAATTTTAAAATACTCGTAATTACTTAGAGTAACTTTCGTGGTTATTTACAAAAGCAATTATTTTTCAAGCATTTTGCACGAGGCGGACTTAATGCCACATGGCATTATCTACCAGTTACCCTTTAGATGGTTCAGTTAGGGACATGGCAGGTGAATATATACAATGAAACGAAGCTAAACTAAGCATTTACAAATATAAAATGACACTTAATAGTGCTACTTAAAAGTACCTACATAGAAGAGTACACAAATACATATTTATGTAACATACATACAGAATAAAATATATACAATAATTTTTATAATATTGTTACGAGCTGGGTATATAAATAATAAAATAATATCGGTTAATTAGGTACTTTATTTCACTATATTTACAAACAATCACTACTAGGAATCACTATATATCTTGTTAGTCGCATTAGAAATTCATTGCGATATTCATTCGCCCCTCGTAAAACGAAACTGTGTGTGCGCTTTTGGATTTAACTAGAAAGTTCTTAGAGTTCGAAACAAACACGAATTTTCCAGAAGCGAAATCTAGCGCTGTAAGGATCAGAACTACTCGTATTAACCACAATCTTAATAGATGTACTTTTGTCGATACTAGATGGCGCTGTCCTCCACATTTCACATACACTCGAACCATTTAATCATAATCATTATGTGGCGCAACAGTATAAATACAATAATAGTGAAGTGCCGCGGTCATGAGGATATTTTTGCTAGCTGCTTCTTATAAAGTTCTCGAACTTTGGCTTTAAACGTGTTACGATTTTTTGACATCCTGATCTCAATTGTAGTAATTACCATATACACCAGTACCAGAACCTAGCAGTTTAAGCTGTGAAGCTAGATAAGAGGAAGCTGTAGGATTATTAAGAGGAAAGTTATTATGTGCTAGCTATTATTATTTATTTCACGTTTCTAACTTTGAAAATGAAGAATTGCCAAAGTGTTAAACCGGTTGTCCGTTCATTCTTTATTTTACCCCTTAGGAATTACCAAAAATCCTGACATACTGCTTATAACATAAAAAGCATCAGCTACCATCAAGTTTGTAGCCCCAGCTGTTGCACGATCTGCGTTCCTGAATCAATCAGTTAGTCAGGACAAGAAATTTGATATGTATGGATTCATTTAACCTTAGCATTGAATGCTATCCTTCATAGGGATTTGATCTGAGCACGATACGGTATCTAATTGCCGACCCCATAATTACAGAATGTTTGATTTGGTTCAGGTTTAAATTTGAAATCACTCGGTTGAATTATTGATACACTTCAGAATGAAACGTGTTTTGGCTGTATAATTACGTTCTTGATTACTTTCTGAAATTATGTTTACTTATATAACTGTCCTTCAGGCATTCTTGGTTTGGACAAACTTGGATATTTGTTGTGAAAGTAACAACTATTTCCAAAGCTGTTGGAGCAATTTGAATTGGCAATTACAGGCAACCCATCTATCAGATGAGGAGGATCCCGGAGGATGCCATAGCTTTGATACGGGATCCAGGAGTTGTTTCCACTTAAAACCAGCCCTACGGCCGGCTTCAGACGCTTTCAACTTTGGGAAGGACCCGGACTATATGATGTTAAGTTCCCCTGCCTCCTCGAATTAAGGCTGCAAGTATCCAGGTCCTGTCCTGGACTAATCAAAATTGACCTACATTATTTAGTGTGGTCACTCAATCATAATTCGTAGCTGAACTTAGGAAAAATCTTCATTCTTCTGTTATTCCACTTGATCAAGAACATGACATAATTAGAACTTTGGTTATATTCTCCATTAAAATTAATATAAAATAAAATGACTTATGGTTTTAGAGGGCAAGAATTTGGCTACATCGTACGAGTGCAAGTTTATCGAGACTTCGGTGGGCATCAACCACAATGTAGACGAACTGCTGGTCGGACTGCTCACACAGATAAGACTTAAACAACAGCACGCTGAGAGAGTCAGGTAAGTTGGGATTTCTCATTGCCAAAACCTACAGAAATATTTATCGGAACTTTCACCTGCCTTCTTTTTGTTATGGCATAGGAGGGCAAACGAGCAAACGGGTCACCTGATGGACAGTGACTAGAGTGAAGACCCACAAGGGCGTTGTCAACCGCCCCCCCCCCCTCTCCCCTACCCCCCAGGGGAAGTTGGTTAGAGTTCCTGTAACCTCACTCACTGCAATGAAAAAAGTCTACTTAATAGTTCAAAGAAACCCAGAAAACAGTCACTTCAAAGATTGTGTGTCTTTAGAATAGAATAGAATAGAATAATCTTTATTGTACACTAATTCAGGATATTATACATACAATAGTATTCAAAGTTAATGACCATGTACAAATAGCGGCCTTATCGCTAAAAAGCAATATCTTACAGGCAACCTATGGATGGACAAATAGACTGTAAATAGGTAATTTCATGGGCAGATTTGGTGAGAAAAAAGTGTAAAGGAAACTAAAAACAAAAAGAAAAATATTTACACAGCACAACAGTAGTGTCAATTATATACAGCAGTCAGTCCTAGCAATACCTACTTATATAAATACAAGTAAATACATAAGGAATCTGTAATACATACACAAATACATATACTCTACCATTCATTTGCAGAGGAATGCAGAAATTAAAGTTTAACTATCGCTGTATTAAATGTTTATAGAAAACGCAGTGGGTCGCGTAAAAATCGTAGTCGTGCGCGCTCACCGCTCGAGAGTGAGGCACCACCTACGATACCTGCGCCACCCTGCGTCTCCGCCGCTAGCACGCCCCGTAAGAGGACCAGACTTTCTGCCAGCGTTAAGGTGATTTTTTTTTTTCCCCTATGCAAATCCTTAGATTATCACCTCTAGACGGTAAGATGGCGTGCCGGACTCGAACAAACTAAAACTAAGTACTACGATGTACCTGTCCTAGGAAAGTAACTCCTGTTTAATGCGGCAGCACAGTTGTCTCGTCATCATACTGGGGGTAAATGGGAGTAATCCCTCCCACACGCCCACCACTGTAACTCCTGTACCCTGATCAACAGCAGACACAACCGAGAACACACCGAGTTCTGACACTCGGGAAGTCTCAGGAAACAAAAAAACTGTCTTGGAACCCTTAACGAATTTATTTAGAAGAAAATAGGAGGAGTTGGACATACAGTAAATCCACTTTGGGGGTCTCTTACAAACCTCGGGCCTCGGGAAATTGATGTCTCGGGTCTCTTACAAACCATGATAAGAATTTCGTGTCCTCATATCTGTCCTCCCATAGATTGAAGACGATAACTAGCTCTATCTATATTTTTACCTTTACAACTCCAGGTTCGCGGTCTACTAGGACGTGTGTGGGCTCGTGACTCCAAGTCAAAATCGTGCGAGAATCTGCACGTGCTCTAGCACTCGGCCGCCGACTCCGTTGCCTGCTTCCCGTTCTTCGATTGTGCTGTTAACTACTCATAAATTGTGTACTGGAATTGTAGATGGTTTGGACTGCGTTTGAGCGATATTCAAACTGATTTTGTATTTTGGTCTAAAAGTTAATTTAATTTTAAATATGGCGTCAGGAAAATATCTTCTAACAAACCTTAAGTTACAAACGTATGTTGTCTCAGTAACTTACTTATTCGATTAAACGCAATCCAACCATGAATCATCAGTTCATTAACTGTAAAACCTTAGCAATCCCATAGCACCCTACGTAGCAAAATCCTAAACTTCGTAAAACTACATGTAACACTGACAGATGGCGCTACATGTATTATAAAGCAGCGCCATCTCTTGGCAAAACATCGAACTTGTCTAAAATAAGAAACCGATGTAAGCAATTCATCGTAATGGGTTTAACTCTTTTAAAATTACAATTACAATTTGTCGGTCTGTTTTACTGTGCAACGTGTTAGTGAAAACTTTTAGAAAATCAATTAAAATATTTTTCACTTTGCAACCTGCGTTACTGACCACCATACAAATCTTAACTGAAAAACCAAATAGACAATAAGAAATAGAATTTTGGAACTCAGCGATACACAATCTTCGTTATGGTGTAACCTCCCCATCGGTTGATTGTGGGATTAAGACCTTCTAATACTTCTTCCAGCTACAGATTCATGATCATATTAGATATACCGGGATAAAAGGAGACGTTAAATTAAGATACAGAATATTAGTAACCAATATTGAATATTCCGGATGGGAATTGAGATTTAGATTATTATTATAGATTTAGTTTGCAGCAACTGCTCTCCAAGAAGTCCATTTTACATTTCTTTTGTTTTCACTAACACGTAGTATAAACTGTCAGTTACCACAAACAGGCTTGCTACGTACTTATTCGATATGGACAAATACTTTCGGGAACCAGACGGATCGGCGATAAACGAAATTAAATAATTAACTATTACGTATAGCGAAATTAAATTGATGTGGACTGAAATTAAACATGGTAGTGGCTACGGTAGATGTTTTCGAATATTTAAATAGTGGATTTTTTGTTAAGTTACGTGATGATTTCGGTGACTAGAAACCATAATGTCACACTCAGAAATATGAAAAAGCTCTTGATGCTTAGGACTTAGTTATGGAAAGTGAATAAGGCTAGGAAGACTGCCTCAGATTATATTTGAAATATTGTAGTCAATAATTACGTACAAAAAGATCAGTGGTACTGTTTTTTGTACAAAAAATACAAACTTGACACACAATGCAATAAATTTTGGTAGTTGAATCTCAAAGTTCACTTAAGTCAACATTCAAAATGACTTTATTATGTTCTATTGGCGTTTTATTTACCAGGTAAAACTATTTAAGTCTTCGCTTCTGTAATATTTTATTGTAAAAGGACAGCTCTCCTTCCCTTTTATATAGAAAATACCATAGACAAAACACTTAGAGACTTTTACTGCTCAGCTGATAATAAAATATGGAATAAAGCGTCATCATAACATGTCCAAAGTATCAAAAGTTCAAAATTTAAAAGATTGCACTAACGCCATCTATCTGAGCGTACTTAAATTAAATGCAAGTCACATCACAGACAGGCTTAGAATTTTTTTAGACAAAAAAGTAATAACTTTATAAATCGATGGTATTATTCATGTAGAAAACGAGGCTTATTCGAAATGTTAATTAACGAATTAATGTTAAAAAATATTGTGATCCCACCGTGTCTCCTAAATTTAGTGTTTGTATTCCAAATAGAAGTACATTTTTTATAACTATGTGTAATTTTTAATTGTCAAACATTATTATGGGTAGTATATAATAGGATCATCATATTAACCTAATGGAGTAGTACCGTTGTGGTTTTTTTGCTTTTTTATTAGACTATTGTGTAACTAGGTGTTAATATAAAATAATATTCATTGTATATTAAACAAATCAGACATATAGTGATTGTAACTCCAATGTGTAATATATAACCCAACCCTGATTGTGTAATCTTCCATTAAATGTACCCACTCCTTGTACGTGTACTTATAAATACCATTTAAAATAATTATTAATATTCATTATACGGACATTTTATATTATTTATATATATTTGTATTATCTTACAAATACAACGTGTTTGAGATAAGTGGTTTCATATTTTAGGGTCAGTATTGCAAATCGACTAATAATAAATTCAAGGAATTTTATTTTTTATTTTTATTGTATATTAGAAAAAATTGTAAAGGGTAGTTCCACGCTATTTACCCCAAAACCAATGTAAATTATCACAACAATTTAGACTTTTTTTGTAATTTGTTTCTACTGTAATGATTTTTTCAACAATGACGTTCACGCTATTCATAAATTTAAATTACTAAATCTACTAGTAACAATTATATCATTAAACTGTACACGGATTCATTACATCACTAACATGTAGACAAGTTGACAGCTGTCATTTGATATAAAAAAAACTAGAAATAGAGGGAACCTCAAAGTTGTCTATGGAGCATTAATAGTATCATTTTATGACGTAATCAAACTCATGCAGCAGAATATTTGAGAGGATGACCTTAAAGGCCACGGCCACGAGGTCGATCTCCCTCGACAACGTTACAAACTAACTGTATTTTTTTCCATCGTTTTATTTTTCAATTAAGTGTTTTTAGTAAAAATTTCGTATGTTAAATAAGCATTTCCGAAAATGTGTCAACATACCTTTTTATGTGGATCACAGAGTTTTTTTTAAATATTTAATGAATAGAAGTTTCATCAAAATCAGGTAATTCTGTTCTCTGTTTAATAATTTTACTACAAAAATAAGGTATTCAATATTTACTGTTCATACGACCCTAAACTATGACTACGGCTCTCTAAACATATTTTACAACTAAATTTGATTCTAATAATTAAATATTACTGATTGTTAAGTAACACTACAGCTAATAAAATATATTATACACAAATAAAATATATACTTTGACGAGAACCAAGTATACGGACTGTTATGTGTATACATTTTTTTGCTTTATATTTAAATTCGTATAAACACATTGATCACCAAATTGTCACATAAACATAAAATATTGCGAATATCAATAAAACGTTTGGGTCCACCGCTTCAGAGTTAATTGTAACGAAATAGTTCGCTTGTGTGGGGAGATCGTAGATAGAAATTAGAAGTAGAAGCGTCTTTATGATCGAGGCTGACAGGGCGCATAGGCACGTGTTGCATGTAGAAGACGATAAAAGAGATGATAGATTTGAAATAAACGATAAAATAACGATAAATAATAATAATGTTGTATAATAATAACAATAACACAGAATATACTGAACTCAAAATTGGAAGCAGCACCGAATATATTGCAGACAAAATTTGGCAAACCAATTCAGAATTTGGGTTAGTGAAACAACAAACACTAACCTAAAAAAAGGGCCCAAAACTACTGATAATACACCTAAATTTACAAAGGGACACAGTAAACTACTGACTGAAAACTACCGTAAACATATTCTGAGATAGTGTCACAGAAATTTTTAAACTCGAATTTGAGAAAATAAAATACAACCATGGACACAGAACTCAAAAGACAGATATTAAATCGAATCCATCCAGAAAATACAATGCCAAAGGTAATCAAGAAACTTAAAATAATGTTCCTCAAAATTATTAGACGGCAGCTCGACGTAAGCGTTAGTAAAACTCGCATAGATTTTTCAGTTTTCTTCCCTAGAATTGACTTACACCTTAAAATATTGGGACAGGAGATGAGTGATACTTACGGAGAGAACTAGTTATTTAATAATGATATCGATGTCAAACTAGCGAACTTGCATCCACTACGATTATATTTGCTGCCTGTGATTCAGACATATTTTTTCTTGTGTTTGAGTTTGTTAAGCCTATTTCCTTTTCATGTGCTACATGTATATTATCTAACCCTCTGTTCTTAATAAATGTATTTATCATATATAATATCAATTATCAATCTCCTTCTTCTTTTTAATATGCATTAAATTCATTCAGTCTTACTGGATTTATTACTCCGTAACGCGTCAAATATTTTTGATGTCCAGAATATCGGCGTGTTTGGCTCTATAAACACACCATGTGGAGAAAAAGAATTAACTCCACGATGATAATGTTATTGTAAATGTTATAGAATACTGAAATTAATTGTAAGCCATTGATCTTGGATATCACAAAATCTCCTGTCAAAATATTTTGATTTTAGATTTAGCCATTTATGTCAAAAGGTAATGATTTCAATTTGAGTGCCTGATGTTCGGAATAACATAATTATTTGGTCCCTCCGTGATACCCGTTTGCCTTATTTTCTTAGTATGGTGTTCATTTTATAGAGGACGCAAACTACGAACGTTTATATAAAATTATATTAGGAAATATTGAATTATTAGTCGTTAATATAACTTAGATGTATTTTTAACTTCTCTACTTGATGTTAAATTGTAATTCAGTATTGTAATTTTAATGTTTTAGCCATGGGTAGTTTGGTCGACTCGAACACATAGAATTTTTCACTTTACTGAAAACAACTTAAAGTTTAAATTTAAAAGTCGATCAATTACCCTAGCTAAATAAAAATGGACTTATTTGGAAAGGTCCTGTCCAACAATTAAGGAATATTATTATAATATTAACCCCAGGGTCCAAAGAAAACACCAATCTCACCTCATCCTTGGACTATCCTGGCCCATCCTAGACCTAAATCAATTAGATGATCAGCAGTAGACTTTACTCATCATTAGGTGCTTAGGTATTGGACAAGTGGACTAAAAATTTATCTACCATAAAATTTCCAACTCTAACTTCTTCAATATGTAGATTTTATATGAAATCCGATCAAAAATGAATCGGGATTTTTCAAAAAATAGATTGGAAACATGTTTTTTTTTAATAATCAAAATAGAAATCGTACAATTTCATAGATGGAATTGTACAA